CAGGCGGGGTGGCTTCGGCCAAAGCCGACGACGGTCTGTAAATACGATGGTGCCCATATTGGGATCTAGGCTTCTGAAGTGAGCAGATTCAATGAGTTTGAGTTCGATACCATTACAAACTGGGCTTCATCTCCAGATTCACCTATTCGCTCGTATTGAGAGCTGGGCCCAGGATCGGTGATGGGCGCCGTAGGCTGAGCTATGATGCGATGTTCCTATGTTCCTCTCCGCTTTCTTCCCTGGGACGATTGCTACTGGGCACTTAGTCATTTTGACCATGGGTTCGACAAAGAGAACCAAGAACATAGTAAAGCTACGCGTCCGAGTGAAGTCTATCAACATTTGAGACTTATCTGATATCGGGATTTGGAGTCGGAGGGCTTGTTGGTTCCGACAGTGGGAAAACCACGACTGTTCGTTCTTTCACAGTGTATTGCAAGCTTCCCGTCATTCCAGACATGGAAACTGAATAAAGAAGCTGATATTTTCTCATGCCTAGTTCTGCAAGATTGTACGAGCAACCTGATAGTCTAGACAGGCTTGAAGATGCCTGTTAAGATTGCATTGTCACGTGGGAGGTAGTTTTCAATCGGATGAAGCGGATGAATTTGGCAATTCTTAGGTCTGCTGTTGGTGCAGAGTAAATAATGAAAGAATTTGGCTTCAGAATCATTGAACTCTCATTGCCATCTAAAGTTCTCCAATATTAGAGTTACTGGTTGTCAGTATGCGAGTCTTCAGGCCAAAATCGCTCCCCTGGACCAATGCCACTGAAGCATTGTCATTTCTTTGAAAATCTCGACAATGCTTCAAATGGCCAAAAAGAGACCCTCCGGCCTCAAGGGAAAAGCCCCATTTCCCTACCCAAGGGGTAGTCAATAGGCATCGGGTAGGAGGCTATTTCGGATGTTCTTGGCAACACCGGATCAACTGATGGCCATGCACAAGGTTACACATGGCTTCACGAAGGCACACTTAAATCATCCCATGCATCCAATGTTGTAGGAGCACTTGATGATCCGTGATCTAGAAGATCTTGCCGCGGTCCGCGGCGAATAGCGGTGGAGTCGTGACCGAGGATCCATAAACTATCAAGATGGCCTTTGTAATGTTGCAATAGGAACCGAGGACCCCTGTGTAGCCCTGCAGGGTCAATACATTGTCCCTCTAAGTACTCCGTACATTGCCGATTGAAAGTTGATTGGAATTGACTGTGTCGATTCGAAGTCATGGCTGCAAATTTTATCCATGTTCTTAGGGTCGCGTGAGCAACTATCTCACGAGCGGGACGCGGTTTCGATCTAACTTCTGACAGAACAGCTTCTTCAGGTAATATTAAGTATGATTGGCCGGGATGGGATGACGCGCAGGACGCTTTTTCATCTTAAGGTTCTTAGTGAAGGCATTATGGTTCATCCAGTTAACCACTTTCAAAGCCGTGGTGATATTGGGGTATTCTCTTGAGTAATATAGACAAGGGTCCTAGAATGGTCATGTCTCCCTCCCCAGCTCCGTCACGAAGTGACAGCGCTCACCTGAAGTTTTGCCGAGCAATGCACTTTCCGCTGACTTGGAGTTACGGGCGGAGGGAAAACATGAAACACTTGGCCAAGGGGGTGATCCCAGAGGAGTTAAAATGACTTGGTAAAGTGCCGCGGACGTAAATAAACGGCGCACCAAGAAAGAGGCAGTGACAAGCGATAGAGTTCAGATCGGATGAAGATCCAATTGGAAGGGAAATCCCAGGCAGTGGACTAAATACTGGGACACCTCGACTGAGAAGTCATTAAGGATAAATTGAACATGTTTGTCATGTGGACTGACGATGCAACGGTACCGTCGGTATCACGGCGAGCGATTCCCTTTTCTGAGCCGACTTTTAGTCGGCTCGCATTTCGGGTCCTAGCTCTTTCATAGCCGGTCATGGTCGAGTCGGTACCTTCGGTCTCGTTATTGAAGGCCGAGTCCGAGTTTGTGGGCTGCGGATCGTGATCGCAAAACTCCTGTAGAATACCACGGAAGAGGAACGACTCACGAGTGAGCTTTGGTCCGGGTTCCGCTAGATTCTTGATTTCCACGGAAATTGGCAGACCTAGCAAAGGATCAAAAGGGTGATGGACAATGGAAGCATTGAGAAAAAATTGGTGGCATTGCTGCAGTGAGCGCTCGCCGCCTGGTTGAATCAGAATTTTGAGATTTGCCAAGACTTTGGTCTCCATGGCCGTGGTATCGCGGGAAGCTTGGCGGCAGGGTTCAACGAGGGATGAGTGAAATTCGGCCCTAACCTTTCTCCTCAGGATCGCACCACATAATTTGTGAAGTCTTCAGACGGAATAGATTACCAGGCATACCAGGATGGGCATTCAAATTCGAAGGTTTGTCCTGCGGCGAGGTAGCGTAGTTGTTTGACGAAACCTGAGATGTCGGCCTGGAATCTAGCTTTACACAATTGCAGACCCAGTATGAAAGGTCGTCGCAAAACGGGCGCTTGGAGTCAACTGATGACGAACATGGACAGCATCCGACTTTTTCTGCCAAACTCCGTGGTATCAGTTTTCACTCGCGTCAAGCTAGGAAGTTTTTCTCTCTAGCGGCAAACAAACGTGGGGAACCCCCGAGAGTCAAAATGCGCCTTTTGCCCTTCGGCACCTCTCACTTGGTTTTCCAAGCACGGCTGCCTAGGTGACGAAAGCATGGCAGCCGCGGGCCCGTTGATACCTGTATTCATCTAGTCGCAAAGAGGGGGTAAGGAAGAACCACATTCGAAAGAGGCAGCCCGGATGAGCTTGATTGGATGAGCTTAATTGGATGACTTCGTTTGCCAATGATATGTGGACGATGCTAATGGGAGGGTCTGTTCAGTCCTGAAATGGGTACGATGTCAACAGTGCTGGCCGAAGACTTCGCCCTAAGCCATATGCAGGTAATAGTCTCAAATATCCTTGGGTCTGCGCATGGAGATTGCGGGGCATATGGAAAGTAGGAAGTCCGGTGTGTAAAGGAAGCAGTCGCACCCTTTCCCTGATGTGGAATGTTAAGCCGTGTCACAGTAGACGGGGCTGGGAGATTCATCGGGAATAAGTTCAGTTGGAAGCGCCAAGTGAGTGTTTGATGGGAATACCAAGAGCTGCGTGATTGCGATGTTCTCCAGTCTCGAGAATGCCAATACTGACGGAGCATCCGTTGACAGTCTGAGAATTTCAGGTGAAATGGATACCATAATACGGTGAGGTGGACAAGATGTCCATTCCCAACGCCCACAAGGCGACGGAAAGAGGACGATTCTCCCGGTTGCCTGTGCGCTTCGGAGAGAAGCCGGATTGACATCCTCCAGCATAGCCTCAGAAACGGAGTCTAATGGGGGAAAAGCGGGAGATAATCCCAAGCAGCCCCTGAAGGGAGGAAAAAGCAACAGGCAGGTCCCAAGGGCTGGGCACGTGGGAAGCGTAAATGTTGGTCCAATGACCTCGAAAGGAGGTTGTTAGGATTCTAAGCAATAATGAAAAAGCGGCAAGGGTAGGTGAGGGCTGCCTCAAAACTTCAGATGACAGCCGCCAAACGTGCTGGCAGAACACTGATGGCAACATGGGTACTAGATAAGGTTAGACATGGTCAAACAGACTCCCGGAGAACATAACATGTGTCCCTGGTCTCGGTCGCGGTGGGGCCGGTGGATGGCGTCTGCTTCCGATGATACTTTTGAGGAGAGTCCGTTCTGAACAACAATTGGATCGGTGGATTCCTTTTCCTCGCAAGACTGCCATGCAGCCATAGGAATGATGGAAAAACATCGTCCAAAAGAATGGTGTGCGGGGCTAAGTTCCCCTGGCAATTTTCTAACAAGAGCTTTTGGGGCGAGTTTGACTCTTGGCATTAATAAACATCCAGCACCAGACTAGGTTGTTAGCTGCGGCAATCCATCCCATTGTACACACAAGAGTCTTGGCAACCCCGCCTTACAGACCACCACCAACAACAACCCATATCACAGAATGGACTCTTCTTCGCGTTGGGGCCACGCTTGCCGAACAACTATGCTTACTGTTGTTGTACCTCCTACTCCTGAGACAAGATCTTAGCAGGATCACGTCCATTGGACACACTTGAGTCGCCTGCCAGTTTGTGAGCGGCCTACTCAGAGGAGCCCCTTGCGCGACGAACCTGGTCATTGGGCTCATAGATTCGATACCACATGGCTTAACTTCTTTTTGAGGTCGGGATAGCTCTCAGATTGGATCACATCTGGCCGGACGCCGAAGAGGTCGACAACTTACCGTCACACCGTCATCCGTGATCCGATCAAGTACCTCATACAGCTACAGATATACCATAGACTCGGGACTCGGTAAATATCTAAGGTGTGGCAGAGTCTTGTGATTCGACAGTGGCGGGCGCTTCTCCTCCCTTTTCATCAGGCTACTTTTGGTTCAAGCGAACCCAAGAGTTTCATCAAATGTAATGTTACCGCCCTTGCGTGCAGTGCTGTTGGTATCCCTATCACAGGGAAGTTGGTTCTGGGGGTGAGGAAGTATCAATATCGCTGTATTGATTGATTCTGCGTAAGGAGTAGAAGGGAGATTCCAACCGGAGGTTAGGTGGACCGTCGAGGTGTAATTGTACCCTCTCGAGGTGGCCCCTGCTCTACCCTTACTCACGGTCGAATTGGGCTTCCAACCCGACAAGTGCTGATTGCAAGTGATTGCCGGGTAAAGCACTCAACGGGACCAGATCCCCAAGAAAGACCCAAGTTTCCAACGCAGACGCCGGTACGCGGAGCAAATCTCCAAAGTGACCCCATCAGCGTCAACAAGCATCACGCAGAAGCAACCATGCAAGCATCTCCCGGGCCCGCCTGTATGTATGTCCACCAATGATCCAAATCCCCGTGCGATCCGTCGTCTCCTCACCCGCGGGCTTGGGGAGCCCCCCCCACTCACCTAGTCCTGACACGGGCGACACCGGGTTCTTTTACCTAGACACTTCTGGTGAGTAGTAAAGTTGCGATGGGGATAGTGTGAGCTTTTCAGCCTTGGCAGGACTCGTTGAACCAGGAACCTCTGCCTTGAGAAGGTTTATATATAAGTCCTCGGGTTGTCCGACCTATTCGCATTCAGTTCTTTCTGCCCATCACTCTCACGTTCTTTCAACTCTAAACCAACTACTACATTCATTCTTTACTTTTTCGAGTGTATATATACTCTTGTTCAACATGCAGTTCCTTAAATTCGGCCTGGTGCCTTTGTTGGCCGCCCTCCCCGGCGCTCTCGCCTGCAACGGCTACACTGGCGGAGTCCCCAAGGCGACCGGTACCGTCACCTCCAAGTCTTACATCGAGATCAAGGCTGGTCAGGTCTACGACGGAAAGTGGCAGCGCTTCGACCGCGGCTCCGGTGCCTGCGGTGGACAGTCCGAGGGTGGTGAGTAGCCAATATCCTATTTTACATGCATCACTTGTGTCTGGATACCTAACAAATGTTCTTCCTCCAAGACTACAAGGATTCTGTTTTCTACATCCAGGCCGGCGGTACCCTGAAGAACGCCATCATTGGCAAGAACCAGGCCGAGGGTGTTCACTGCAACGGACACTGCACCCTCGAGTTTGTTTGGTTCGAGGACGTCTGCGAGGACGCCATCTCCATCAAGAACGACAAGGCCGGAACCCAGACCTGGATCGTCGGTGGCGGTGCGTACCACGCTTCTGACAAGGTCATCCAGCACAACGGCTGCGGTACCGTCAACGTGGTGAGTATCGATCGATTGCAATTTTCGAAAGCAAGCATATGCTAACATTGAGCAAGATCAACTACTACGTCGAGGACTACGGCAAGCTCTACCGCTCTTGCGGAAACGTAAGTCAACCTTTCATATTACATGTGACTCTACCTCGCAACAAAGCCAGCTAACCTCTCTCTCAACCTTCACAGTGCAAGACTCAGTGCAAGCGCAACGTCTACATGGAGGGCGTCACCGCCAAGAACGGTGGCGAGCTTTCCGGCATCAACCTGACTTACAAGGACACCGCCACCCTCAAGAACGTCTGCGCCGACGCCAAGACCAAGTGCCAGATGTACAACGGCTGTACTGGTGGCTGCGAGCCCTCCAAGGCTGGCACCTGCTCTGGCTAAGCTTTTGAAGCATGCTTAAAGACATTGTTGCTCATTGCCCAAGCGGTGGTGCGAACATACAGAGAAACAATGGAGTGTTCAAACCTGAGCTACTCCTAGTCTATTTGACTTCTTGTACATAATATATATTACCGTGTGGGAAACCACGTACTTACTTACACTATTCACTATCTCAAGGGCTTTATGATAGCCCGGAACATGGTCCTCCAATAGCCGTTGAAGTGAGAGATATTTGTCATGTTACGTGAGCACTTACAACATCCTCTTAGCTGCTGAAGTATTGTTGTCGGATTTGAAGTCCAATTCGACCGCGGATAAGGGCAAGAGCATGGGCCACCTCGAGGTGGTACAATTAGACCGCGACTACCCAACCAACCTACGGTTGGAATCTCCCTTTTACACATTACGCAGAATCAATCAATACAGAGATATTGATACTTCGTCACCCCCAGGACCCTACGGTTCGAACCGACTTCCCTGTGATAGGGATACCAACAATTGTTAATATTACTCGAGGCTTTCCGCCACTTTTAATCGTTGCTGAATTTCTCAGGTGACAACTACCGATGTTTCAGAGTGGACCCTCTCCGAGAGTAACCTAGATTGTTAGGTTTAGACTTGCATAACTAGGCAACTTCTATCCTGAACCCCGGCCTAGAACTTGCCAAATAGGCAGTTGGAAGTACGCTGCCTACCGGCTTCTCTTATGAAGACTTTTTCGTCGTACCACATTCATGAACCAAGCTACGGATATAGCGGCGTGGGTTGTTACGGCCGATGCGAGGTCATACATAGTCCCGTTGGAGATAGCAAGATCGAGGGGTTGGATGAAGTCCATAGAATACAAATACATGGAGCGGAGGTTCGGATGTCATTGATCGAACCACTTTCATCGACCGTAATGAAATCGGACTTCTGCTCCGGAATGTGAAATACCTACAGTTAGTATGGAATCTGAAATTTTTCTTGAATTGAAACCAAAAGGGATGACGATGTCTTAGCATTCTGTTTGTCATCTGAGTTATTCGAAGAAAGAAGCACCAGATCACAAAGCCGATAGGGCTAAGTAAAAGAAATTGTATCACAGGCGAAGCAAATACGTCAACCGCACTTGTATGATCGGCTTGAGTAGGTAAAAGGATTGGCCGTTATTGAAGAGATTTGTAATTCTAGTGAAGTAAAAGTGATCTCTTCTTGTTTTTGCTAAACCACGAAACGAATGCTTTCCGTTGATGCAATCCCTTTCCGTTATGCCCATGTCCTTCCCGTCCAATGCCCTTGTCAGTCTGAAGCTACCCATTTCCATGATCCATCTCACTACACCATCCATTTCCTCGCCTGGAAGCCAGTGTCATAAACTGGCACGTGGTCTCTCAAGGTCTCTGAGGCGACGCTGAGACGGAGGCCTCAGGGACCGCACCTGTCAATCGACCGTCTTCAAGCGACAGAAGCACGAAGACTTGACGGGAACGTCCGCCACGGCTAACGCCAGTTGAAGTTGCGGCTTGAGGATCTTGGCCTCGTCTACCCGGCCCAACTTCATCAGACACTCGTAGAATCCGTGCAGTGCCCACACGTTGTTAGGATGTCGCAGAGCCCGTGGCAACGTCTCGTCAACCCCGAGGTCTGCGCTGTAGACAGCCGCTGCCTCCTCGACATGGCCCTGCTCCAGCAGTAGCGCGCCGAGCGCATGTCGTGCTGGTTGCATCCACCCCCATGGCTCATCGTAGGGTAGTGCATCGTCTCTCTCCACAGCTTTCCGCAGATGAGCAAAAGCGATATCGTAGTCCTTCTTTCGGTATGCCAACTCTCCATCTAGCATAGCCTCGGCAATGGAGAGAATCGACTGACAAGTGTTGTTAAAGACCGAGCGAGATAACGGTACCCGTTTTACTGCCTCGGCAAAGAGTACGCGCTGCTTTTCCGCCTCTTCGATTCGGCCCTGCACAGCGTAGGCTATGCCCTTTGCATAGTGTGTCATGGCAATGGTTGAGCAGTAAAGCTTGGGATCTCGCGGGAGTTCAAGAGCGTGGATAGCTTCCCAGCGGCCGAAACGAACGAGAGCATGCATTCTCATACCGAGGAAGCCCTCAAGCCAGTCTGCCATTGGCGGGGACTCGACTCGCAGGAGATCTTCAGAAATAGTCGACTCAAGCTCTTCCACCGTTATGAGGGCTACCCGAGACTGACCGCACAACATGGCGGCATATAGCCTGAAGTGAAAGTCATGAGACCGGTACAGTGTGTAGAAGTTGAGAGGGCCCTCGCGGGCGAGAAACTTGGAGTCGGCACGGATCGCGTCAGAGTTGGAAGCGATGGCGCGACGATATTCTCCACAGATAATGTCCAGATGCGTGGGCATGTGCTCGAGATGTCCCGCGTCTGGGACAAGTCCGCGAAGATTGTCAGCTATAGTCAGGGCGGCTTCCGGAGTTGGTGACATTTCCATGAGATGGATATATAGATGAAGGAGGCCTGGATGTTGCAAGGAGCCTCTCAGCCTGAAAGTGCGGTCCATCACATCCTTGATCTCCAACGTCCTGGCACCTGGCGTTGGCTTTCCAGTCCTGTAGTCCCATAACTTCCAAGGCGTAACATTCATGGTGGCGTCCGTCCACAAAGCAACCACATCGAGGTCATCAGGATATGCTTGCAGTACCAGGTCCATGGCTTGGGCATAGTCCTGGTTCCACTTCGAGCAATCTTCCGCCGGCTTCTCCTGCGGGTAGCGACAAGACAAAGCATTGATGAGCGCAATCTCGACCGGCGTAGCCTTGCCTGAGTGGCTCTTTGCCTGCATGATCGTGTGATGTGCACGTTTGGTCGTATCAGCGAGATCTTCTCCATCAAAAACCTTCCATGGCTTGTTGTAGTTGGGCCCAAGGACGAATGCGAGTCCCCAGTAGGCCATGGCGCAGAACGGGTCATTCTCAATGACTTTCCGGAAGCACCTCGCTGACTCCTCATGGTTGAAGGCATACGCCCACGTCAGGCCGCGGTTGAACCATACCTGAGCATCCTGGTTCGACGTACTCACGGCGCGATGGAATGTGCCGAGATTGTACGGATAGGCGGTGTCGTTGTATGAGCTGAGGGCGGACGATGTAGCCTTGCTTCTCATTTTGGCGGATGCTTGGCGCTAGCTGGCTGACGGGAGATCTTTCCTGTATCAAATGGTACCGGTGACAGGCCCGGGGTGCGAGAGCTGGGGGAGGGACAGGAATCGGGATGTTGGGGTGGGTGTCGATTGGTTGAGACACCTGCCGTCAATGATGTATTAGTAGACGTGCCGCGTCGGACTATCATTTCGCCGCCTGAGTACCTAGTTCCCCCTCAATCCCACCGTTCCCGTTGTCCCACGTCGTGAACCTAAAAACCATCCGCCCGGAAACATTGCTGAAACCCCGGTAAGTCAAAGCACTGATACGCACATATTCATCTGGACGCTCCTTCTACATGTCAGTCGGCTGTTATAATAGAGTCCGGAGCAGTGGAGAGTCTAGCATATCATCTCACACGGACTGTTGTCAACTTCGATGACACGGTCGATAGTTTGGATGACTTCTCGAACTCGGCGAACTCAGCCTTGAACTTAACCGCTGCAGTAAGCTGCCTTGTCATAAAACCTGTCTTGGAAACCAACTGTTTGTCTTCATTGCTATGCAACAACTACATTGAATCAATCCCATTCACGATCAACCACTTTCCATCCGGAGACTTTCCCTCCTCAGAACGGCGGAAACATTTGAGTGAACGGAGAGATCTGTGCTCAAATCGCTTGAATATTCGCTAGAGCAGATATCCCTCCATGGGGTATGCATGATTGTGTAGTTGGTGCTTCTCGCAAGTAGGCTTAAGGCTACTGTACGCGACACGCTCGGGCTGCAATAGAAATCGACTTAGTTTATGACACGGGAAAGCATATCTTATTGGCTAAAGCCGTTGGACTTGAATGAATATGGGATTATGGATATTTTTTGGCTTTGAAATAAATCAGCCTGCATGGTGGTGAGATGCTGCTTCTATCACGGCACCACCTGTGGTTGTCGGACCTTTGTACCCCTTTCTTGCCCCTAGCATCCACCAGAGACCAACGAATATGGTGAGGCCACCCCATATCAAGCATGCATAGTTCATTGACTGGGCATCTGTCGGCAGGGCGAAAGGGAAGCAGTAGATGACGAACCACACCAGCATGTAAGAGCACGCAACGCCGTTGATGGCAAAGCCAATCCATCCACGCATATGGAAGGGACCGTACGCGATCATCTTTCTCCCCGAAAGGAGATTGGGTAGTATGGCAGCGAGATAGGAACTGCTTGAAAGAAGAATGAAACTTCCGACAAAAGCGTTGAAAGCCGTCGTACTGCCGACGTAGATTGCTCCGAGAATGGTAACCAGGATGGCTGACAAGACCGTAGACCACATGGGCATGCCCAGCCTTGGGTTAATATGTCCGAGCAGGGCGGGACGGGGACTCGCGCCGTCACGGGCGAGGGCCCATAGCGTGCGGCCGCAAGTGATGTACAATCCCATGAGCGTCAGACCAATGCAGATGAGGACGAGGGCGAGCAAACCGGTCGCGCCGGCAGCGGAGCCAGTTGCCTGACGGTAGATCTCGGCGATCGGGTACGGGGATTCGAAGAGAGCATCATAGTCGTTGATCGCGTACATAATAGTGACCAAGTAACAGAAACCAGTGATGAAGCCGATGCTCAGCTGCAAGCCGAGAGCGATTGGGACGTTGCGCTGAGGGTTCGGAATCTCCTCCGCCAAATGGGTCGTCGCATCGACGGCACCGACACTGAAAGCTCCATTCAGCATTCCGGCTACAAAGACAAAGCCATTCGGGTATCCGATGTCGGCGGTCCACTCGGTCCAAACAAAGGAGGAAGATGCATGCGGCGGCCGTCCACCCCGGCCAGGCATGACGGCTACAGTGATGATAGTGATGAGGAAACCTGCAACAATCGCAAAGACACCAAAGTCGTTGATTCGCGGCATGGCACTGTTAGCCATGCAGACGATGGCACATGCGAGCCATGTCGCAATGATGTAGACGATGAAGACGTGCCAGGGCTTGGCCTCGAAACCCGCGTGGTTGAGCGCGTACATCTGGACTACCGTGTTGCCGAAGATCGATGCCATGCTGGCCGCGCCGAGAATCCAAGCGAGGTAGTTCCACCAGCCGGCGAAGAAGCCCACGATGCGGCCCCATCGACGGCCGGGTGTGACGGAGGCCCAGTGGTACACTCCGGCGGACGAAGGAATGGCGCTCGCTAGCTCAGCGATGCTGGCCGCGACAGTCCAGTAGCAGACCGACACGGCGACGAACTCGTACAGGACGCCCGGGGGACCGCCGTTGAAGATGGCGACGAGGATGGATCCTCCGATCGCTGGCCAGACATTGCCGACTACCAATCCGACACCGGCGAGGGATATCAGATTGAAGTTGCGCTCGAGTTCCTGGACGTGGCCGGACGCGTTGATGGCTACATCGTGCTGGTCGGCCGATCGTGTCTTGTTGACATTGGGGGCTGTGGCCTCGCTGTCGTCGTGGAGTTTGGTATCGCGATCCATGCTTGGCGCGTGTTGAGAGTCAGGAAGATGCATACGGACCTACTGCTGGTCTTCGAGAAGTTCTGGGGAGGAAAGTCGAGGCGGGCCTGTCTAGATAGACATCCAAACGCGACCGGCCCGGTGCTACCTCAATATTCCCGAGAAATTTAGTAGCGGTATTCACGGAATGACGATATCGGCACTCATTGTCACTCAAATTGCTGCTTCATTGATCAATTTCGCCGACGGCGCCCCCAACTTGAAATAGTTCAGGTGCCCGGCGGCACTCATTCAACGTGCCAATGGTCTGATGGTGCGACTTGGTCGCGGGGGAATCATCCCTTTTGATAATCGGTATCGCCACTAGCAACCAGAGATCCCTGAGATATCTCCCAGTTAGGGGGAAGGGATTGGCTGTGCTGGCCATTCAAGTGCCGGACACTTATCCGGGAATGTCACTGAACCCAGCCACTGGGCACCCCTACTAAGGTTAAGCTCATAGGCCAGCGCTACTCCAAGTCTGGCAATTAAGTTGCAGACACTACATGAAAGCCATGAAGGTATCGAGCCGGAGCCGGTTGTCGTCTTCGATGCCGTTACGTACTTTAAACATGCGAATCTTTCTCCCCGCAAAGTTGATGGAGCACAGAGTCAGCGGAGAGATCAATTGTGGCCCTTAAGACGGAGTTTAGGTGCCGGTTAGATCCACTGATTGCATGGGCGCAAAGAAAATCTTACGCAAGAGCTTGACCACGCTTTGCGGGGGAACAGGCCGCCGGCTCTTGGCTTTGGGGGAATCTGCTTAGTAACAAAGACCGCGATTGTGAACGCAAACTGGCCTGGTGAAGAGTCTGGGGGATTGAGAGAAGCATTTCGAATACGATACGAGAGCTCTTTCAAAGATGATGCTCAACGACCGGAATCTCTACACGCCCAACTAAGGCATAGGCGCATCATGGCCGAATAACTTCTTGCATGACATCTTACCTTACTATTCTTGAATGGTAAGACCCACGGTTGGCATGACGACCGTACCTAGCCTGCGTTGAGATGGATAAGCTTAGAGAGAGAAGAAAGATGTAGAGTAGAGGATATGGCGTAGGAGGATTGTAAGAAGATTTTATGAAAATCATGTCTGCTATGCTTGAAAATCGGACTTTCGGACTTTCGAATAGCGTTAGAAAAGTCCACGCTGTTATCAAGACCCAATACCAGGACCAAGCGAGGTAACAAAGCAGCCCCAAGCTCTGCGTGTATAGCACCAGCCGCAGTTCAGTCTTGGCTTGACACTTTTCTTGGAAGATAATTTCAATGTTTGACGCATACACTTGTGACTCTTTTGTGGTTAATCGGCGCCCGAAGGCGCCGACTAAAACCCCACTTCGGCCTGGGTGGGATCGACATACGGGAGCGGCTTCCTGCACAGTCCCGCGAAAGTTCAAAAATCCCCGTTCGACTTCATCAACCCAATCTTGTTATTTTCCGTAACATTGACGGCTGTGCAGATCCCGCCATGTCACGGTAGCGGCTCCCACACTTGGCCTTTAAACACACGACACCACATCGCTGTCGCAAAAAGCAAGTAATAGTTCACAGACTACGGTGGCGGGTTAGAACTCGGTACATGAGCACTCTGGTATGTTCCTGGCTCCTCTTGGTCAGACTAGAACAACGGCGGTTCAGTCATCCGCTGGTATGGCTTATGTTTTGACAACAGGCATTGCGGATATTAAGAAAGAAAGATTGTGGGGTGGGGTCCGCCTCCAAGTCAAGCGTCTCTGATGTTGTCCAGGTAGGCGTGGCGCCTATTGTAACGCAGACCTTCTATAAGGTAATCGTCTAGGCCTGTAGTCACTCAAGTTCTGATGCATCAAAGTCATTGAATGTCGGGCTATCGGCAAGGGTATGTCGTGCTGGGTCGTTGAGCTCTCGTCCATAGTTGAGACTAGTGGGGTGGTGAACAGAGGCAATGCATTCCGAATTCAATGACGTAGGTAGTCCGTCTTTTGTCAAGATATGAACTTGAATTGCGTGTAAAGTGTGGCATATTCGGGTATCGTGGTTTTCGAAAGCTGCTCTTAAAAGGCTTGGAGCAAGCTCTCACTCAGAATGGCCAGGATGCTCACAAAGCCCGTCAAAGTCACACGTAGATTTACCAGTCAAGATTTAGTTGTCATATTTTGGCGTATACTGACACAAAGCAACATGAAGAGTACACTTGATAGCACTAGTCACCGTTCCCCGAGACGATATGAGACCTGCACTCTCCCACCGGCTACCAAAGTGAGACACGGAGTATCTGTAATTCCATCGACTCTTGACAAAACAATGAATTCTTAAGACTCGAACTTGTAGAGAGTGAATGGCGCGTGCGCTACTTGGCATGAAGGACTCGGTGCGTGCCGAGAGTCCGCCCCGAAGTGGGCGGTGTCGATCTGCGCCAGCCCGGGCACGGATCCACCCGGTTCACGGCGCGCTTCATCGTCTAAACTGGCGTTCTGTGGCGATGTGTTTATGCTTTAGCAAGCTCTTATTTAAGTTCTGTTCAATGTCTCCAAATGGTGTATTCGTGAACAACCGCAGTCAGTTCCCACGATTCAAACATCTTGAAAGAGTTAAAGACGAACCTGCAACCTTCATCACCTCATAGACGGCCAGTGCTGAAGTCAATTTCTTCTCTCGCTGGAGAATTTTCGTATCCTTTCGGCCTAATCTCGAGCAGCCAGACTGCAAAACACAAGGAAATGGATTTCTTACTATCCACGACGATTCGTATGGATGCTTCGTTATTGAACTGGCAACATCTGTCTTCGACAGCAAGCTTCTTCATACTTTCATCGCTGTTTTTGGGAATACTTTCACAAGTCCTGAGCCGAAGACTCAAAGTACCTACGCCCCTATCTGAAGAAGTGTCCGATATTCTTAATAGAAAACGGTCATACGGCATGAACGCCAGGAAGCTGCTCGACAAGTACTATGAGCGGGTGGGTTGAGTTAATATCGAATAGTCGCAGTGCATCTCACAACTAACGCGATTTACAGTTTAAGAGCAAGCCTTTCGGAATCGACACGATGGATAGTATGTTGACTTACCTTTTCAAAGAACTTTTGAATGGAACTCTAACTTTGTGTAGGCGTCAAAGTCTTTTTGCCCCTTGCAAGTGTTGACGAACTGAAAGGCCACCCGGCATTGAGCTTCAAAGCCTCAATCGACAATGTAGGCAAATGCCACTTTCCGGGAGTCAGACTGTGTGCTAACTCTACTTGCTAGGATGCGTTGATTAACTACACTGGCATTGGAGGTGTAGATGCTTGGGGGGTACACCAGATCTTGGCAGAAATGAACCTTAGCTTGGGTTTGTTGAATCCTCTCTAACTTTTGCTAGAACTCCGTAAAACTGACTCCGGAAATAGGTGCTTATGTCCCTGTATTCCATGGCATGATCCAAGAACACCTTCCCAAGTTTCTTGGAGCTCCGACAAGTATGGCCGACGACCCCTTTGTGCACCACCTTGGATACCTTTCCATCTTTATCTGACCAAGGTCGCTAATCCCTTTCCAGAGTGGACTCCAGTGAAGCCACACCATCAGTTCTTTGAACTTGTCGCAATCTTGTCGGCAAGAATCATGCATAGCGATGAAGCAGCCCGAAACCCTGCGTGGGTCAAGCTTTCGATGTCGTTCGTCAACACCGCTATCGAGTACGGCTCAGTCCTCAAACAGTGGCCCCCCTTTCTCCGCCCATTCGTCGCCTACTTCCTCCCAGAGCGCTTGGAGAAGGAGAAACAGTGGGCTGAAGGGCGCGAAATCGTCGCAAAGTCCATGGCACGGAAGAGTGCTCTGGGCGGCGCGCCTCTGGAGAACCCTCCGACGATGCTGGACCACTTGTCTAGTGGGGATCACGCAGACAAAGCCGGTGACTTGGACCTACAGCTCTTGCTGCAGATGACTCTCGCTGTGGCGAGTATCCACACAGCCTCATCCACCATGGTCCAAGTTCTGTACGACCTTGCCGCATACCCCGAGTACACCGAAGAGCTTCGGAAGGAGGTTGTGGAGGTCTTGGAGAGTTCTGGTGGCATCTTTACCAAACAGTCACTTGGCGAGATGAAGAAACTCGACAGCTGGATGAAGGAGAGCCTGAGAATGAATGCCCGTGATCTGAGTAAGTCGCATTATCTTACAAAACACAAGACAAATTCTCACAAGTTGAAAGCTACATTCCAGCGCATGGCGACGAAGCCTATGACCATGAAGGACGGAACTTATATCCCCGCCGGAACAAAAATGGAATTACCAACCAGCGCGATCAACTTTGACGCCTCCATGTACCCCGACCCGCACAAGTTCGATTGCATGCGGTCGTATCGTCAACGCCAAGAAGATGAAACGGCACACAAGCACTCATTCGTCAGTGTCACACGTACGGAGCTTGGTTGGGGTTTCGGCAGGCATGCGTGTCCGGGCGGATTCCTTTCCGATGTCGAAATCAAGCTCATGTTTGCGGAGTTTCTCCTGAATTATGAGATTAAGAACATGGATGGACAGCCACGGTCCAAGAACGTAGAATTCGGAGTGAACGTGCTCCCTGATACGGAATATCAGGGTTTGATTCGGGCACGCAAGGTCTGATATCATTAACATGTTTTCTCATAACGTGGCCTTAGGCTATTTGTAGCGAGAATGTTAGCAGCCTGTTGAATTTCATCTGCATCAGAGCTAGGGATGGAATCATGATTTGTAGAGTAGGGTAATAGAATTGGAGTTGAGAGATGTCAGATCAAAGAGGACCGCCTTTCGCTTTCAAGATCTTGAAGGTAAATTGAGAATTGTGACCATTTGTATGCACCAAGCCATTTGTACTTCTCAATGATCGACAGACTTCTAAGTTAGGAAAAGTGTGCTATTACTCCGGGCCTTGCAGATGTTGTCTGAAGAATTTCTCCTGTCGCCGGGAAAGCGCTCATCAAATCCTGGCAAAAGTCACGATGTGTGGTTGCTGCGCTATTGTGAAGTATAGTCAACTTGTGCTTCACTTCCTGTCACATACGACCATACCCATTGGAAAACTCGGGATCCCGTCCGCTCTCCCATAGATAAGCCAATGAGGGCCGGATTAGTAGTTGGGTCGGTGACGACCAGCGAATACCTGGTGTTGTATGTTTTTGATACCTTTTGATGTCTTCGTAGTGGTGGGTGACGATGGAGGTCCGGCAGGCGATTCATGGTGAACTTGCCTGCAGCTTATTGCTTAGCTAGGAAGTCTACCGTACAGAGACAGTGACAACTGTTTAGACATGTTCCTCTTACGCCCGGGACCACATGGTTCACTTGCGATACGGGTTGAAGACTGCACGTTGCACATAGGCATAATCATGAAAGCTATAAGGCCTGATAGGCTTCACTGTTACCGGTTTCAGTTACCGAGTCCAGCAACACACTTCGGCTTGCTACTTCCAAGCTGCCAGTTCATGAAGGGTGGGACTGTGAGAACCACGTCCAATGTTTTTCAGTCCATCCCTCGGGCTGATGTGGCTTGTGGTGCGACTGACCGCTGGCCAAAAGAGCGCCTTTCCAGGCAGAAGCTCGAAGTTGTTGTAGGGTCTAATTACAAGATTAACCTGAAAGAAACTTTCATGATGCTGTACCTAGAGTGCAAATATGTGAAGAGATGCCTTCGAAGCGTGGGCCGCTCTAAGCAGCTATTGTCAACCTAGAATCTAAGCAAACTTCCAATCCGGGGCAGAAGGGGCCAGGGTCTTTCACCTTGGTTGATATGGATTATGATTAGTTGCTAGATGTTGACTGTGTATAACAACCGGGTGACCGTTCGCAAGTACACTGATAACTCTTACGTGGCCGACTGCTGTGCAAGATTTCATAACTGAAGTACACGGAAGAATACAACGAGCCCTCATGTTTCTACAACGCCTGTAATCCTAGAGGACTCGATAAGCCAGAATGATCAGCGGCAAAAGAAAGCAGGCTATGAGTTGAGCTGACGGCGGTAGGAAAGTATTGTGTTTGCGTTCAGAAGATGATCCGTTTTCCGGGAACGACGACTCTCGAGTCTCTCACAAGGATGTATCCATGTCTTCCTTATACTTGTGACTGTAATTGGGAGACAATTTGCACTAAAACGCTTCAGTTCAAGATCAAATCTCACCTCGAATGAACATGAAGAGGTCAAATGGGTTCAAACAACAGGCATAGAGCTACTTGGCAACTTCCTGTTTCCTTCACCGACGAGCAAGGCAGGACACAAGGCCGAACCGCCGTCACTCCCGATCTACATGATTGCCAAGCTGAATACTGTAGTAGCGCTGAAAGCTTGATTCAAGGCGAGACTGATCGTACAGTTCTCAACGATCATCATCTTGAACGTGTCAAAAACTGGGCTACTAAGCGCGTAGTGAACACCCTTTCAACTACTTCTTCTAATCAACCACGACGTGCACAAAATCCCCCTCACGAAGCATTATTATACGTAAGAGCAACCGTGATAACTTCCAAGAGAAGACAAAATACGGAGGGCATACTTCGTCCTGCCTGAACAATTATAAGCCCCAGGCATGTAGAGAAACTCAAAGTCCTTGTCTGCCTCATTCAAAGCCTTAACCAATTGCAGAGTAGACGCGGGGTCGACGTTGTCATCCATCTCTGCAACGATCAGCATCAGCGCTCCCGTCAACTTGCTAGCATGGACCACATTGGATGAATCTTCATATGCCTTGTCGACCGGATAGCCCATCCACTGCTCGCTCCACCAGATCTTGTCCATTCTGTTATCGTGACAACCACAATCGGTAACGGCTGCTTTGTAGAAGTCGCCATGAAATAGAAGCGCTCCCACGGCATTTTGTCCGCCTGCTGATCCCCCAAAAATCCCAACTCGGTTTATGTCCATCCACGGCCGAGTTTTCGCTGCGGCGTTCATCCAGGCTATGCGATCAGGGAACCCAGCGTCCTTGAGATTCTTCCAACTTACGTCTTGAAATTTCTTTGATCGCCAATTCGTTCCCATGCCATCGATTTGAACAACAACATACCCCAGCTCTGCCCACTGTCGGCGCGAACGCAGAGAACTGAATTCCTTTGGTACATGAAATCCATGCGGGCCAGCGTAGACGGATTCTAGGATAGGGTACTTTTTCTTGGGTTCGAAATCTGGCGGGCGAACGATGATGCCGTGGATCGACTCTTCACCGTCTCTTCCGGGGCAATCGAATCTCTCAGGGGCCACCCAGCCTTCTGATTTTAAACAGTGAGAATCTTCTTCGCTGCCTTCGAGATGTACGACCAGCTCTCCGTTTTCCATACTTCTCAGAGCGGTGCGTGGAGGCGAGTCCACTCGCGACCATGTGTCGAAAAAGTACTTGTGCCCCGGAGAGATAGTCCAGTTGTGTGTACCATCTCCGTCGGTCAGCACTTTGAACCCGGTGCCATCGAAGTTGATGCGAGCCAAGTGCGTATGGTACGGATCTTGACCCGGGATTACTCCGCATGCTGAAAACCAGACCACTCTCGTCTCTTCGTCAAAATGAACGAATTCTTTGACATTCCATTTCCCTGTTGTCATCTGATTCTTCAGCTTTCCTGCTTGAAGGTCGAAGAGATACAAGTGGTTGAAACCGTCTCGTTCGCTAGCCCAGATGAATTCGTCGGTAACTTTGATCACACGTCGATTGAGCTTCGTGGAGTAATCGATGAATGTGTCGCTTGTCTCTTCGACTAGAGATCTAACGACCCCATCTGTGTTGATCCCTATCACGCGTAAACGTTGATGACCACGCTCATTATATATGAAGCGATATTCCGAAGAATTACGACTCCAGCCAATGTTCCGCAGTTCGTAAGGGGTTTGAAATAGAGTGGCATCCGTAGCCACCTCTTTCTTCGATTCTAGATTAAACAATCGAGGGCGATCAATTCTGACGCGATCCCCAACCTTCAGGTAACGGATGCTCTTCACCTTTGGCTCAAGTTGATCTTTCGGAACAGAGTCGCGAAGATGCACTTTATGCTCTTCCTCCGGGACGAATTGCCAGGCGATGCAGAACTTCTTGTCTGGAGACATCCAGATGTTTGAATCATCGCATCGATTGTTATCGGTGCCATTGTCGGAAAGGCGCACCTCGTTCTGGTCGTCATTTTGGTGCCACAGGTCGGAATCCCGCACGAAGAGACGGGATGAGCTCTTCTCGCACGAGTCTGAGGTTTCTTCCTTGCCATCTCCCTCTTTCTCTTTGTCCTCTGAACCCAGAGGGCTGAGATCTTCCTTAGTGTTCTCATCAATAACCACAGAAGAGGCAACTTCCTCAGGCGTGGCGTAGATTGCTCTGACAGTCTCCGACTCATCGACAAATTTCCATACATGGCCGGCATACGTTCTTTGAGTGCTGCTTAGCCCACTGCCAATCCCTCCATAAAGCACTGGGTTGCCTTCCCAGTCTATCCAATATATCTTCAAGTCTGCCTTGCTATTATTGACAAATGTGATACGGACGGAGTGGTTCGAGTGCACAGATGGATGCTCTTTGGGAATAAATGGCGTCGTGGGCAGGTTGAGCGTGCCGTCCCACTCACTGAGGGTTTCTTCAGTATTATCAAACCGCCATTTCTTTCCCTCGTAGAAAAACCGAACGGATGATGACTCGGTTTCGAGGTCGATCAATGTGAACGGCAGCTTGAAAGCATCGATTACTCCATCTTTCTGGTTGGTCTTCTCTTTAAGCGCTCTTGCTAGCTTGTCATGATCAAAAGCTGCTTCTCGACGGCATCAACGTGAATGAAGGCGAACCGACTGGACGGCAAGTTCTGACGATACCAGAAGGTGTTGGCTTCGGCTGTCCAGTGCGGAGAGACTCTCGCTTGTTGGATGTAGTCATCTTCCATGGCGTTCTCCTTGCTGAACTTCAACTAGAGCTGGAGAGAATGTGGTAGTACCTAGATCAAATGCTCGTCTGTTGATAGGGATAGAGTGGGAGGGGTTTGCGCAGCTCAGTGGGAAGTCAAGAGACCGTGAGACGTAAGACTTTAGGCAACACCGACTGATCATTGGTGTAATTGAAAACTGCACCAAGTAGCTGCAGGCGAAAAGTTGGGGTGTCAGCGTATGCTGCAGTTAATCGGCTCCTTTATGAGTCAGCATGGCAAATGCAACAGCTGCTATTACTCTCAGAAATAGAATAGGGAGGGATAGGGGAAAGCCGGACCGACGGGATAAACAATTGAAGAGCCAATTTCACACTGAAGAAAGCGATACCGTAGTATTCATTAATACCTACATTGACTTCTCCTCTTCGGTACCCAGTCAACATGACTCGCATCAAACGCTTGGTGCTCGAAAATGACATCGTGGAGCGATTGTTTGGCAAGATGTCTTAGTCACTGCTTGGAGTTTTGGAAAAGAGATGTAAATGGTATTATCGCGGTTGAATCATTTTCAGAATTTTGATTTTGCATGCAAACCTCTCCCCTCACAGTATTGGGCGACCTTACGTTGATCAATCGGAATATGGCTAGAGACCAGACGACGTGAGGGACGGGAACCCCGCAATTGGCTGATAAATCTTCAACGTGCAAGCTACTTCCACCAGACATTGACACTCACTCGCGTACGATTCTCCCTATCACCGATATCGTGGCTATGTGAATTCAACAGCATGTCGGAGGGGGAAGCTCATAGAGGTGCTGATGAGTCTACTGTGGAGACGCCAACGAAGCAACTCAAAGGTGCGTCGAACGCTCGCGCCCTCCTTCAGCCCGTCGCCTGTGCCCTGTGCTGATCAGAACCCCAGGCTGCGCCAACTGTGAGCGTCGTCGAATCCGGTGCGATCGCCGTCGTCCCCAATGCGTCAAGTGTGACAAGAAGGGGCTTTCATGTCCTGGCTACGACCGCCGTCTTCGATGGGTGGAAGGGGTTGCCGCAAGGGGGCATCTGCGGGGCCGAACGATCCCCACGAGGCCATCTTCTAAAGATAAGACCGCATCTCGAGAAGATCACTCGAGAACCGTTATCTCTGGAAGCTTCGAGCTAGATGAAAGGAAAAACTGCGGCCTTCCGGTTGCCATTCCGAATCCCCTGATTGTCCAAGCAGCTCGAGCTTGCGACCATCCCGACTCGACAAGGGTGTTCATGGACTATTACAGACGGAACTTAGCCGGTCTGATGGTATGGATGGACTCAGAGGAGAACCATTACCGAACTCAAGTTGTTCCTCTCGCAGTAAATCAACCGGCAATCGGCTTCGCCATCATGGCCTTCGCGGTTCAACACGGCGCCATGGCATTTCCCGACGAGTCCATCGCGGAGGACGCTCGCGATAGGTGTTTGCATCTGATACAAACCCGTGCCCAGAACATGACGGCACGACTTATCGAGGGCGGTGACTTGGACAACCATGCCGACTTGGCCGACGCAGAATGGATGCTGGCCTCGATTCTCATCATGTGCAACTACGAGAATGCCCGCCGCCGCCTTCAAATCGCCGATGATCACAGACGCGCGGCTCGGACGATTGTCAACCTGTTCAAAAGTCAGAACTCTGTCCACAATCGAAACTTGTTTGCTTTCTTGCGAAATCAACTGGCTATCGACGATGTGCTGGCAGCTACAACTTCGTTCGACATACCCCTCATTCGAAATGCCGTCACACCGGCACCTGGTTCAGACAATCTCCTCTTTTCGAGGTACCTGACTTTCTTGCACCATGTCACTCTCGTATCGGCAGATGCCGTAGAGTCTCGTCCTTCAATTTCACGCCTACGCAGCGGCCTCACGATGCCTCTCATTCGGTCCGGGTTTGAGCAGGCCAGAGGCGCTACGTTGATGGCGGCCGGACGACTCGGAATGGCAGGCTCCAATATGTCTCGTGATTTCATCCGCTTGGTCGAGGTGTATCATAGTGCAGGACTGTTGTACTCACTGAGATGTCTTGACTATGCTGTCGAGCACGCCTCGGAGCGTGTCGTGGTCGTTGCCAGTCTGTTCGATCAACTTACCGGATTCGAAGACCAAGCCGCCTTCGTTCAGAATCTAGCCTGGCCGACCTTCATCGCCGGTACCGAATGTCATGGAAATCAGCATCGCCAAGAAATCATCGCAGGCTTGCTGACGGCGATTCATGAGGGCACACGTTTCAGCTATTACTTGGACGCAGTGAACTTTCTCAAGGAGTTTTGGGCTGGAGGCAATGACGACTGGCGTCCCCTCGCTCGCATGAGAGAAGCTATAGGGCAGCGAGTCCTTGTAGTGTGAGCACTATCAGCACAGTTAGGGAAAAGAGAGGAACTTCATGCTACCAGACTCTACCAACTCAAACTGGAGACTACTAGAAATCGACCGTCTCTTCGTCTTCGACACCGAAGAGCACTCGCATCGGGTCCTGGTATTTCATGAACCCGACACCTGGCTCACACAGACCATACCCCAGAAGACGTTGCGCCTGGGGCTTCATCTTCTTCACCCGCTCAAAAGGCACCATGAGGAATTGGTTCTCCGCGGGACGTAGTGTCGGCTGGCAGAGGAAGATTCCAACGGTCTCCCGATATTCATCCCTTTGAGAGTTAGCCAAGATTACTAACTGATCGCGGTGTACTCACGTGGTCACGTTCCCCCCTCCAGCGTGGTACAAGTTCCCCAGAAAGATCAAAGCATCGCCGGGTTCGAGTTCTGCTGGAACAGTTTCTTCATCGAGTGGACGACGTTCGGGGCCCCAGAGGTGCGAGCCCGGAATCACGACAGTCGCGCCGTTCGCTGCTGTTGTCTTTGTCAAAGCAGTGACGCAACCAATCATCACGGGCAATTTCTTGTCGTGAGGATGATAATCACTGCAAACTCCATGTTACGGAGGCTCTGTGTCAAGATATCAACAGGGTAATGCTCACTTGTCATCACGGTGTAGTACCTGTTGCTTGCCTCCCGGATTCACCCGGAAGCCCACCGTCGAAGAGATGATGGGCTTCCCGCTCACAGTCTTCTGCTTATCGCCCCGCCAGAAGGTGTAAGACGAAGAGACCAGAGCATTCGCAACGTCGGTATAAACGCGGTTGCATGCGAGTTCTACGCAGCCGTCCGAGATGCCCAGTAGGCCGGATGCTCTCTGCGTAGTTGCTGGGAACAGGCCGTATTTGTCCGGGATGTCCTCATCAAAGTAAGGCTTAAGGTCTCGCTTGATCTCTTCCGCGAGTTGGCGTTCGATCAACTTCTCTACTATGATGCCACCATCGCGGTTGATGATCTCGACGAGCTTCTCTGTTGTGGTTGATGGATCCGTTGCATCGCATCGTGTAATAGAGGGACGGGAAGGAGTTGTCTCGGGATTCGCCATTGGGTAGGAGTTATTCTTTATTTGAGCTGTTGAGTAGATATCACGGCATGTCAGTAATTCGCGGGATTCGGCAGGTCTGCTTTATAGGCGCGGTCACGGAACTTTATCGAGTGAACGTAAGCCCCTCTCACACTGTTGTTCAAATAACACATGACGTTTCAGTAGTCATCTCTCTAGTTATTGCCCGTCTTTAGTTTACCTCATCAGAAAATAAACCTTGAAGCATGCGGTCCGCTACCTCCCCTTAAACATGCCCGTATCAATTAAGCTCGTCTCAGAGGAGAGCATTTCGGCGTTGGCCATGTTAGCCAGGAACCCCTGCTCTGTCAAGTTTCTCAAAATAATGCCCTAATTTGGTTAGTGCACTTGCGCGATGATAAGGTTGCGGGACCAGACTGGTGGATCGGTGGGGATAGATGAGACGGAAGGAACCCGGCCTGGATCGGGTCGCCCAGATCCGGTACCGGCTCGTGGTCACAAGTTTGGTTCCAACTTATGGTCATTGGTCTTATGAAATCTTCAAGAGAGAGACCGTCATCCGTCATTTGTAAAGTCAACTTACATCACTAGAGGCTCTTGCGTGGGATTCATGCTCGCGATATTATTCTATTATTTCTTGGTCGATCTATGTCTTGAAAGTTCCAACCACCATGGAAAGCATAAGGGAAAATAAGCAAGGCCATGCTATGTCATCATCATAAGAAACCACGCTGTAGATAAGGACCATCGTTCAGAACCCTTAGTCAGACGAAACCGCAAACTTGCTCAGAGCTCTAAGTCTGCCTCCGTAGAAGTAAAGCAGCCAAATTCCGATGATACCAATCGTGCTCAGTCCACCCAACAGACTCGTTCCGCGGGCGACACCCAAATTCTGGTACATGGGGCGGGCGAACAAGATGCTAGCGAAGGCGAAAGCAGAGCGGAAGAAGTCGTTACCGGCAAAGAGACTGGCGGCGTACTGCGGGTAGGACAGCGGGACGTAGACAAAGATGCACTGCATCACGACGAAGACGGTAGCGCCGTAGATGGTGATACCGATGGTTGGCGCGATCCAGTGGATGGCTGGGGATGCTGTCCAGGCGAAGATGAAGAGGCCGATGGTGGGGCCGAAGGAGGCGGGGAGAGCGGGCACAAGACGGTTCTCCTGGATCGGGAAGCCGAACTTCTTGATACGGGGTACCATGTAGAAGGCCAGGTAGGAGATGTAGACGGCGATGCCGAGGAGGCAGGCGACGAGGATGCAGAGGAAGACCAGGCCGATTTCGCCGATGGACATGCCGTAGTAGACTGGATACACAAGAGGGAACACCTCAAAGAAGGAGTAGTAGATGCCGTAGATGATGGCGGTGTAGACCTGGACGAAGAGGATGGCCGGGTCCTTGATCGTGATCTCGAGGGGCTTGATGAGAGCGTCAATGACGACGGCCGAGGTCTTGAGGTTGCGCTGGTCGATTTCGGACTGGGTCATGAAGCGGTCGTTGCCCGTCAGCTTGCGAAGGCGCTCAGCGCGACGGAGGAGGATGGTAGGCGTCGAGGTCTCCGGGAGGAAGAAGAACATGACGAGGAAGACGGGGGCGGCGGCCCAGAGGATCTCCCAGAGAGACCAGCGCCAGCCCATGGCGGGGACGGAGAAACCTGACAAAAGAGGTCCCAGAGCTGGACCGCAGTATGCTGCAGATACCTATTGTAAGAATTAGCATGACGATTTTGGGACACGAGTATCAACAAGAGAAGTACTTACCCAAGCAATGAGGGCGTAGGGAAGGTTGAGAAGACTGTACATATCTCCAAGAGATGCAGCGCCTGATGCCAAACACGGCGAGCCAAAGAGACCCTGCAGGAACCGGAGAACCATCAAACCGGGGAAGTTGCTTGCCAAAGGTGCAGGAATGGACACGATCACGAACAGGAACATGGTGACGATGTAAAGTGGGTTGCGTCCAATACGAGGGATCTCAGAGAGCGGCGAGAAGAGGAGAGGACCAATACCATAGCCCAAGACGAACAGGGCCAGACCCAGTGAGGCCTCAGTCATGTCGACGCCGAACTCATGGATGACGCCCTCGATGGAAGGGGTATAAATCGCCGAAGACATGTAGACGACAAAGGTGTAGATGCAGATGACGGCCGCGATGAGCCCGCGCTTCGCGTTGGACCAGTTTTGCGGGTTCTCGGCGTCGTCGCTAAAGTACCAGTCCACCAAGATGGCGCCATCTTTTGTCTTTCTCGGTGCGATGGGGATGCTCCGGGTCTTTTGGATCTCGTGGATCTCGTCAACTTCGAGCCGGTCGGCCGTGTAGGGGAACGTCTCCTCTCGGCTCCGTGTCCGCTGAAGCGATGTGCCGTACGGCGCGGCGTCTTCGACTTCCTTCTGGGAGAGCTTGTTCTCTTCGTCGACGGCGTGTGTCGACTCGGAGGACCGGGGTGATGCGCCGGCGTCGGCTGGGGTTGCTTCTGCCGGGCTGGACTTCTCAGAGTTCAAGACGTCGAGCCATTGTTGCGGAAGCTGGAAGTCGGACTTCTCTTCCGGGTAGTGAAGGACCTTGTTCCGTGTGATGAAGCGGATGATTTGGCCCACAGGGGCATCTCGAATTAGTTGCGCCATTGGAACAGCTGATGATGATGTGGCTTGAGAGTATATGCTATACACAATGGTGATGGCTTGGGATATCAGAGTACTTGTTGGGGGATCTGACTTGCGCAGAAGCTGTTGAGATATCTTCACTTGCTCAGGGTGTAAGACTTGAGAGATGAGTGTGAATTAAAAGGACAAGAGACGATAATGACAACGACATCATGTCTTCTATTATACTGACCATCATCTCAACATCTGCCAAGCAGACGATAGCGTTGACAACACTCAAAGACCAAAGAAGCAACATGACTACTAGCCTGATGACCGATCAGGGCCAAAATTTGGTCCGTCCACGGCATTGGGCTTATGAGCGATAACTACGATGCAGCGCGACTCTAGCACGTGTGGCATTATGAATCACAACCGGGCTTAAGTTTCTCGAATGCGCCGGAATGAGAAAGGCGCGAACCGCCCTGCTGGTGCAGATGGCTATCTCGTTTGAGAGAGAAGAGGGTGGGGGGCGCCCCGCGGAAGCAGGCGTCGTAAATCTCTGTCTCTCCCTGAGGTACGGTGAGATCTGAACGTGCGTGCCGTGTCACCAGGGTATTGGATTGTCCGTTCTCGTCCGTCTGGACTGGGCGCGTCCGTTGATTCTGCCGACCAAAGCTCCAAACTTGATAGGAGGAAACAGTACTAGGGCTGACATGACGTTGAGGGACAGCGAGATGGCGTGCAAAGAAAGGCGGGCTTTGGAATTAGGAGCTAGGGTCAAGGAGATAGCGTCTGCATACTGATCGCGAGGTATTCGTTGCTAGTGTCAGTCAGTTCCGTGGGCGCGAAGGGGGATAAGACGAACTAGCAGCCAGTACTCGAGAGAATCACTAATCCGCGTCCGGCTTTTGGTCGATTTATCAGCGAGCTCCGGCACCCTTGAATGATCTCCGTCCATGCGTCATCTGATTGGCTCCTCGACCAGAAACCTTAACTATGGCTTGGGTCGAACTTTGAACTAAATGCCATCCCGCGGATGATTCAGCCACTTGGTGTGCACCATCCCATTGTTTGAGATGGCATGTCTTCTTTCCGAGCCATAGCCTGACTTATTAATCGATGGCTTCTGCCAAGCCGTTGAAGAAAGCCTCTCAGTCGGCCGGGAACAGAGCTTTCGGCAGGTCGTCAGCTTAAATTCGTAATATCGGTACGCTGCCGAGTGGCTTGCGTCGACTGATGAGACAATGCAAGGCCATCGATGATGATGTAATGGGCCGGCGGATGCTTCTTTGACACATTGAAATAAGCTCGCAACGAAGACATGCTTGGATTTCACAGCCAGCGCTTCGATGGATGGCAAGAGACTGGCCAGACAGGCTTGCATGCTGAGTTGAAGACCGGATACAAATTGATGAAATCAGGTACATAGATAACCTTCGAAGCCCCTCGGTGTGTTCCACGGTGGTCGGGATAAGGTTGCTGCGCTATAAGCTGACAATGAGTCACCCCGTTTGAGTACAGACGGTGTTCACGACTTGGTCGGCGACTGTAAGCTTCTGCAACGTAGAATTTACTGGCTTGTGCCAAGGTATAGTATACAGCCGCCGCGGTTGAATCCGGATACGGCACATCTTCTGTTGAAAGATGTCTATGTGACTGCAGTTGGTAATACAAATCGTACACGGACCCGCCATTTTAAGATGGGAAGCGATATGTCATCTCGGGATTCTCTCGGTCCAACCCCGAACTTCTCTTGATCTCGTCAGCAACGGATGCCATCAGCTTCGATAAGCCCGACTGGACGTCCATATTCCGTCTCTCGGCCTGTTCGATCAACCACCACACGCGCACGTCCTGTGCGTCAAGAGACTTTCTGACGAGAGTGAGAAGGGTTTTCCTGTTTATCCAAAAACTGGACTGTTCTGGTTGCTGCCCTTCAATCAGCGCGGGAGCTTCGCCGAACAATCTCACACACTTGTACGCGAGGTCCAGCTCACCAGCCACGGCATACTCATACACGACTCTCGCAAAGACATTGCGATCGCCTTTCAGGGCCAGCTCTGGGTTTTGCGCAACAAGAGCCTTGAGAGTTTCTGTATCCTCGCACGCTTGGAGGACGTAGCGAATGGTGACATGATTGGGGCTGGCCTCGGTATACTTATGCGCATTCTGGTAAATCTCTAGCGCTTTCGCATAGCCGTGTGTCTCGACAGCGGCTTCAACCATGACGTTGAGCGCGGCAATGGGGACTTTGTAATTGCGGACAAGCTCAGTAAGAGTCTTGAGAGCCGGGTCGATGCTCTCTGGCTCTTTCTTGATTCTCTGATAGATTGGACGGGTGCTGGCGTATGGGGCAACGGATATGGCCTTGAACATGATGCAGAGGACCCGCAATGCGCTCACAATATCTCCGACGCCGCCGTAGCATTCGATCAGCGCCTCGTAGTGGTGCGCAACAAGTTTCCCACCTCTCTGTGTGACGAAACGCGCTGCTCCTGTGGCAAGCTGATAGTCGTGATGCCTGGCAGCTGTGTTGATAATGTTCAGGAGGACGCCGTCCGAAAGCTGCTCCTTGTCCTTATCCAGCATCCTGCCCCATATGTATCGCGTGCCCTCGTAGTGATAGGCCTCGGAGCAATTGTCGAGCAGCGCATACCACAACGCAACGTCGGTCTCGCTATCGGAAGAGTGGACTTTGCTGTGCGCCAGCTTGATCGCCTCGTCTATAAAACCGTGCTGGGCGAGCGTGAAGACGAAGACATCGAAAACCCAGGAAGCGATGGGTACCTGCTTGTGTATGAGGTTTTCTATTGCGTCGTAAGCAAGCTCGATTTGTCCGTCGCGGAGTAGCCCGAGGGCGACATGGGTCTGTCCTGGGGTGTCGACCTCGGTCCATGACTGCTTCATGGCTGCAAGGATCTCGTTCCGAAGTAGGTAGTCGGGGTGTATCGCGAGAGCCTAGAGTCGTCAGTACAGGCAACAGTTCGAGATGCCTTGAGGCAACGTACAGCCAATGCGGCATGGGAGATCGAAGGTGACGTTGTGAACTGCAGTCGCTTCATCTCCGCGAAAAGCTGTGCTAGAAACGCCGCCGATCCTTGAACATCGGCCGTAGCAACGATCAAGTCCTCGTAGAACTTCGGGGTGAGCTCAACACCTCTAGCCCGCACCAGATATGTGATGATTGTTGCGACCTTCTTGAAGCTCTTGGGCTGGCCCCGGAGGACCTCCAGGGCATCGAGGATGGCGGGCAGCGGGGCTGCTCGGAGCTGCTCGTTCACGGCGGGGAGATTATCGTCGACAGTTTCGGGACCTTCTGTATGTCGAGCTGCGTCGGCGTCCACTGGTTCTTCGGGATCATAAGGCTTCAAGTCTCCTTCTGCCTGCGGGCTTGAAGGTGTGGCGGCCGTGTATCTTCGGCATTGTGTGCGATTCGCAGGACGGCGGGCGGATGGGACGAGGTGTCTTCGCTGGCGCGTTGCGAGCGACGCTCTGGGAACAATCTGTGAATTGGGAAGCCTAGCCGCAGCTTGCGTATCGACAGAGGGGCAAAGGCAGCGCCATAAGCCGTCGAACACTACTCGAGACCCCGACATGGAGGTGGCAATGCGGCTGGGCACGAGAGATTAAGATTTTGAGAAGCTGCAGCTTGCACTTGACGGAGCTTCCCTCACCGAGATAATCCCGGTGCAAAGTGGATCACGTGACTCATTCGATGATGCGGTTTGCGATAGACGGCGAGCAACCGCAAGTCTCAAATGCGATATACGAAGGAGCATGGCCTCTCACGGGTTTATTTTCCTGCTTTTAAAACGTAAAATGATTATGTCGATTCGCATGTTTCCCAGGCGGGCGGCCTTGTAATTCCGAATGGCATCCGCATTCGGATTCCTTTTCGCGCAAGACGTCCAATATGGACATCTGCAGACTTCAAAGGACCACATGTTTCTTCCACTGGTGCAGAGTAGCTGCTGGGAACCGTACATCGGCTGGGCTCGTCATGGTCGTGTCCGGGATATCATTATTGCCCACCACCACCACGGTTGCCTCTTCCTCTGCCTCCACGGCCTTGACCTCTGCCCCGACCTCTGTCGCCACCGCGGCCGCCGTGGTCTCCTCTAGATCCACCTCTGCCACCGCGGAATCCTCCTTGCTGGTTCTGTTGGTTCTCCTTCACGACGTCAATGATGTCGTCGGGGACTCGTAGGTATTTGATCTAGGGCTTCGTCAGTATGTCGCTTGTGTCTAGGACTTTAAGAATCGGAAGATTCGTACGTTGTTTCCTTTGACGTAAACTTCGGGTATCTTGACGAACTTGTCGCCTTCCTGTGTGCTCGTCAGTCTTCAGGCGCGGGGCATGGGGGCGATGCATCGACGCAGGCGGCGCGTACCGGACTCGTTTGAACAACCTCCTTCAATGTGAGGTTCATCCAGGTATCGCACATGACCAGGTGGCCATTAAGGGTTTCGCCGTTCTTCAGCTCGACGAGCATGGGGTGCCCTTGGGCGGCGTTCAAGAGACCGAGGGGTAACTGCGACAGATGCGTTAGAGAGCGCGCTTGGAGTCCATTGCACCGAAAGACAGCGCAACAGTCGCCGGGTGTTGCATGCTCGAAGGAGCGCATGGGAACATACCATTTTGTGATTTGGGCTCTGGAGCTTGCCGTGAGAGAGGAAGCTGAGCTGGAGCTCGACGCGGCCGGTTGACGATTATGCGACCATGGAGATTTAAGTGGGCCATGCTCGGTGACGACTCGGTGAGTGGCCACCAGCGCCGGACGCGGATGTTGCTGAGGAAAGGCACCTTGGGGCACACCGGCATGACGTACTCCGTAGACAACATCGAACAAACTAAAGAAAATAGTCCCTAATGGCATGGAGATTAATGCCAGAAATACCCAGCACTTCAAGAATAATGGAATCCAGGAACTTGATTTTGCGAGTGGCAAGCTATCAATCTGCTAGCGCTTCTGATAATAATGACCTGCACCCTCAAACAATGTTAATCGTTTGTTGAGTGATCCTGGGTGGGATCAAAGCATGGGTGCTGACTGTACAGGAAAGCCAACTGACTTTCCCCCCGACTCATTTAACCTTTGCCGCTCTCAAATGTAGAATTGACAGCACCTTGAAGAGGTCTCTGGCAGAGATACAGGACGTTTTTCAACTTCAGTTCAAAAATATGAAGTTTGCCGAGTGTTCAGTGCACAAAAGTGAATTCCGGCGCTTTGCAGACCAAAATAATGACCAACGTGGGGCTCGAACCCACAACCCCCAGATAACCACACGTCAGAGACGTGATAGAAGTCTGATGCGCTACCATTGCGCCAGCCGGCCATAGATGCTGACCAATCGCTGATTGGGCAGGTTGACGGCGGAAGCCGAAGCTCAACTTATGAAGGCTTTCCCGCGAGCCAAGTGAATGCGTTCTGGATAGTTGTGAGCAATTGCTCTTTTCTTAGAAGGTCCCAATGCAAAGAAGAATTCTAGAGGAGCCAAGAAATTGTTGGATTTGAATTCGCAACGTGATACACTAAAGATTTGATAAGGTTTCGAGTGTGCATCAAGTCTCCTTCCCCTCACCAACTTGCCTTTTCGATGCCAGTTGTGGTTGGTGAAGAAGCTTTCAACATCCCCCTACCCCACATTTGCCTTACTGACAGCTTCGCAGATGGGATTGATCAAGTCTTTAAGCGATGTCCTTTCTTTCTCGCGGCCATCCGTAAGAAGACAACTTTCAAAGTCCCAGGCTCTCAGCATAGCCTTATAATGGGGGTAAGAGACTCGACTTCTGCTCCATAGGATGCACGTATTCTGCAAATGCTCTCAGATTCCTGCTAGGCTCGACCTGCATCACATCACAGGTTTGCGGAATCGGTTACTTAAGCTGGATAAAGTTGAATCGCAATACAAATATTTGTGTCACTGAAGACTTACATGAAAGGAACAAGAGCCCACGGTCCTAGCTGTCGTCCAAATTTCACTCCTACCAGGCCTTTGCCACCCACATCTTGAATGCGACCGAAGAGTGGTAAAGCAATTTGGTTTGTTCGTAGGTTGTTCCAAACCAAAAGACTGAAGAGCTTGCTCCATAGCTATGGCGATTAGCTCTAATGATCTACTAGGGACAAGATATAATCTCTCAACCACAGTGTCTATTTGCATCAATTGAGGTTGATATCGTAGTCTCTTCCGAGTTCCGACTCTGTCAAGTCCATCTCCGCCTTGTCCCACTTTGTTGGCAATGAACAATCCCTGTTACTTGAATGCACTAGATTGATGGTTTGTCACTGTGTAAATGGCCTTGACTAAGGCAGAAATGGAACAACTCATGTGAACGTTCTCGATCTTTGCAGATTGTGTGACTGTATGATTTACGCGCCATTACACCGCTTGAGGCACCCGTTTGCTATGTCATTTCATGCTGTCTGTCTCTTCAGTTCAGGGCGGAGCCCCGATATATTGCTCTGGACCTCGAACTGGAACCACCTCCGAAAGAATGGTCTTCCCAATGAAGATAAGGTGGTGATCGTGGTTCAATTAGGCTAGCGGACCAAATGACGAAATCGCAAGACCCGATTGCGAATGCCGTTGACATTGTCGAATTAGCCATTTCGCTGACCTGGAACCAAGCCGGTTGGTCGACCGATGGGCGGGCGCCGTCCGACGACCCACCAACGGTACCACCGAGCTACTGGGTCCCCGTGGACTAAGACCGCAACACGCTCAGACTTGATTCTCTTGGTACCTTAGCTTTTGGGGAAAGGGTCGTGCCGTTGTAGTCAACTGAAGTGTGGGAGTCGGTAGTGGACTGCTGCGTCAGAGTTGAGGTAATTGACGCACGGCATAATATAAAAGTTACTTTGTGGTGTCTGTCAGCACACACCTCGATCTCAGAGCGGCTTTCCTGTATCTGCTTGCTCTTGAAAAAGATCTCTGCAAGATTGTGCAAGAGTACTGGCTTTGCAATTCACCATGTTGCCAATTCCTAGCCTGTCGACATTGGCGACTCTGGCCCTCGGGGCCTCTGCTGTTGTCGCCCAGAACTTGCAGCAGCGTCAGCCGAATATCGTCTTCATCTTGACTGATGACCAGAACGAACAACTCGGCTCTCTTGCCTACATGCCATCTGTCCAGAAGCATTTTGTCAAGCAGGGGACACACTACCGCAAACATTTTTGCACGATTGCGATTTGCTGTCCGTCTCGTGTCAGCTTGTTGACGGGCCAGGCGGCGCACAACACCAACGGCACATATGTCACTCCCCCTCACGGTAAGCCAGTGAGATTCACGATCAGAAAGGTGACAACTCTCTGACCATTCTCATAGGTGGCTACCCTAAGTTCGTTTCTCAAGGATACAACAACAAATATCTCCCCGTCTGGCTTCAGGATGCTGGCTACAACACGTACTACACCGGCAAGCTCTTCAACTCTCACTCCATTGAGAATTGGAACAACCCATTCCCCAAGGGCTGGACTGGTAGTGACTGTAGGTCAACCACAGTAAATCATGCAAGCCATTTATGCTAACTCTAATCCAGTTCTCCTGGACCCCAACACGTACCTGTACTTGAATGCGACTTTCCAGAGGAACCAGAGCCCGCCACAGACATTCCCTGGCGAGTACAGCAACGACTTAATTGCCGAAAGAGCTCTCAGCTTCTAGAATGATGCTCTCAAATTCAACGGCAGCAAGCCCTTCTTCCTGGGTGTTGCACCAATTGGTCCTCACAACAACGGACTTGGCGGCGAGACTAGCGCTGGTGCGACACCGCCCATCCCTGCGAAAAGGCACGAGAACCTCTTCTCTAATGTGACGGTTCCTCGTACTTACAACTTCAATCCCGACAAGGTAAGACGGCTCACACCTTCGGCTCAGGTCCATCAATACTAACGCTGCTTTCGTAGCCGAGCATGGCCAACTGGGGTCTCATCATCCCCCAGCTCAATGCCACCGAAATAGCATAGGGTGACAACTACTACCGCCGCCGTCTCCAAACGCCGCAGTCCGTTGATGAAATGGTCGACGCCGTCATCAAGCGTCTCGACCAGGCCGGTGTCCTCGACAATACCTACGTGATCTTCACGTCTGACAATGGCTTCCACATCGGACAGCATCGTCTCAAGCCAGGAAAGACTTGCGCCATCGAAGAAGACATCAATGTGCCTTTCCTGATTCGCGGCCCCGGCGTGCCAAAGGGCAAGACGGTGGACTTTGTCACAACCCACACCGACATTGCTCCCACGATTTTCTCGCTTGCCAACATTACCCTGCGTGACGACTTTGATGGGTCTCCTATTCCCTTCTCTGAGAATGGAATCCAAAAGGCCCAGAATGACCCCAAGCATGACCACGTCAATGTTGAGTGTTGGGGAACTCAACGTGGGTATGACGCGTTCGGAGGTGGTAAGTTGATTATACTCCCATCAAATCGTCTCTCATTGCCTTAAAACTGACAGTGCTTCGTAAATAGTCTCTGCAAACAACACATACAAGGCTATGCGCGTTCTCGGAGACGGGTACAGCTTATTCTACTCGGTTTGGTGTAGCAACGAACGCGAGTTCTACGATATGAAGGTAAGTCCGATTTCGAGGAATTCCAAACACCCAGATGAGCAGCCACTCACATCCATTGTAGAAGGACCCAGGTCAGATGACCAACCTTGCCGGAAGCGCCTCAGGCCAGCTTCTCGATCGTCCATTTTCCGTCGTTCAAGACCGTCTCGATGCCCTTTTGTTGGTCCTCAAGAGTTGTAAGGCCGAGATTTGCAGGCTTCCATGGAAGCACATCCACCCAGAAGGTGGCGTCGAGAACCTCCGGGATGCACTTGATGTCAAGTATGACGAGCTGGGCAGCCCAAGATCTCCTTCTCAGACTGCAAAGACTTTTACGACATTGCTTCCGAGGGAGCACAGGACACATTGGTTTACTACGACCCGTGAGTTTGAGCTATCACTTGTGAGCGAAGATGGGTGCTGAGTGAATTTGAAGCGCGATATTTCGTGAAGGTTCGCTGTACAAGCCATCGCTTTCGGAAGAGCTGTAGTATTGGAGTCTAAATAATACTTATTGTCCCGCTGATCAACTTTGCATCTGAGGAACTTTGTAGCTTGGTACCGACAAATGAGCCAGGTACAAAAACAGCACGATGTATTTTCAGTAAGCTTGCTGGGTTGCACGAGACCACGAGGACTAATATGATGTATGTGAGAAAGACGTTGATTCAGTGGTCAGAGGCTAGAGCCCGGCCTCGGTCCGGTCTCTCGTGCCCATCGCCCAAGACACCGAGGTGTCTTGGGAAATATGGGGTGAATCCGTGTACTCCTATTGGCTCTCCACATTGTTGCTTGAGATGCCGAAAGCCGTCGACTTCTCGATAAAAGACCTAGCTGCTTCACATCCTTCACCATTAGTCATTGTGATCTGCTCAAGCGTCATTAGGTTTGAACGCTGTAAATTTGTGTCCGTGTTTCTCGTATTCAAAAGGAAACAGGCTCCGTGTCCAAAGCCATAAGCATCGAGTCTCCTCTTTCTAGCGATTCATACTATGTTCAATGCAGGACACCCACTGCTCAAACATCTCCGACTTAAACTCTCTTCTCAGTATTGATGGCCACGAGGAATTCAAGTCTCGCTCAAATGGATAGCGATAACTACGATTCCCAGTCGGGCGATGACGTTGAGAAGTATTCTGGGCCATCGGCACGGCCACCTACCGACCGCGACCCTTTCGAGGTATCCTTCGATGGGATCGACGACCCTTTTTGTCCACATGGCATGTCACTGCTTCGGAAGTGGATCATAGTCACAATATTATGCAATGTGACGATCTGCGTGTAAGTAGGATTGCCCGAACGGCTGCATCTAGACCATACCAATTGGAACTTACCTATACTGACCATTGGATCACACCACAGTACCTGCACTAGCTCAGCATACACATCCACATACACCCAGATGAATACTGAGTTTGGCACGTCATCTCTTGTTTCTACCCTTGGACTTTCGACGTTCCTTTTAGGCATTGCCTTCGGACCACCAATGATCAGCCCTTTGAGTGAGTATTATGGACGACGTCCCATCTATCTCGGTACATGGTCTCTGTTCATCCTTTCGACAATTCCATCAGCAGTCGCAAAGAATATCCAGACCATCCTGGTTACTCGGTTTTTCAGTGGCGCCTTTGGCGGCACCTTTCTATCAGTGTCAGGGGGAACCGTGGGAGACATCTTCCTACCACACCAAATCCAACACCCCATGTCCCTTGTTTCGTTGGTGCCGTTCATGGGACCTTGCGTGGGCCCCATTGTTGGCGGGTTCATCAACTATAATATCAACTGGCGATGGACCTACTATATCATGATCATTTGGTCTTCGGTATTAATGGCCATTATTGTGTTTTTCACGCCCGAGACCTTTCATCCCATCAGATTATATATGAAGGCGAAACATCTCCGCCAGCAGACTGGCGACGACCGGTATCGAGCGCCGATGGAGAATCGGAGCGGAGATGCCCAGACATCTAAGGCTTCTATCATAGCAGCCTCTATGCTACGGCCTTTGCAATTTAACTTTCTGGAGCCCATGTGCCTCTGCCTCAACGTATACTCAGCTATTCTACTGGCCATACTGTACTTGTTCTTCCTGGCATTCCCACGCCTCTTCCGAACGCAGTATGGAATGAACTTATGGCAAGGCGGTCTCACATTCCTTGGCATCATTGTGGGCATGTGTTTGGCGGCAGCATCATCGCCAGTCTGGTCCAACATCCGCACGCGACTTGTGGAGAAACACGGGGCTAGTGAGCCGGAATTTCGTCTACCACCAGCCATGTTGGGCGCGTTTTTCATACCCACTGGGCTGTTCTGGTTTGGTTGGACGATAAGTCCCGATATCCATTGGATAGTTCCTATAACTGGTTCCGGTGTTTTCGGCTGCGGGTAAGTTCAACTACCTTATATCGATGGACATGCATAAATCAAGTCGAGAAGATGTTCAGAATCTTTCCTTGCTTTTAGTTGATTCTATCTTGAAGACTACATGTAAGGTGGGCATCTTTTCATCAAATCACAAGCTAATTGAGCTAATCTTACAGGACTGTCCTAGCCTTTACTGGCATTTATACCTTTCTCGTACGCCAACTCGATGTCTTTCTATCTCATAAGTTCTATGTACTAACCATGCTTCTAGATCGATGCATACGCAAAGTATTCTGCATCTGCACTAGCGTCTAATGGACTGACTAGGTGTTTGTTTTCGGGTAAGTCTTACGTTCACTACCATCGCGAGCTTTTGAGTCTTCTAACTTTATGTGACTTTCCTAGCTGCGTTTCCATTATTTGGCGTCCAGATGTACGATAAGCTCGGCCACCAGTGGGCAACAAGTCTTCTCGCATTTCTTACAGTTGCCATGATGCCCTTTCCTTGGCTGTTCTTCAAATACGGCAAAGCTCTGAGAGGGAAAAGTAAATTTGCGCTCCACGAAAAAATGTAGAGTTGCAAAGGTAGTGCTAGGATAGAAGAGAGTGTGAATAGAACAGCCAAAATTCTGTGAGCTTTACTAAAGTACTTGGGCTCCAATGTGAGGATAATTTCCCAAGCTGACAGCCTGCATGTGACAATCTGTTCCCACAACGAGTACTTGCACCTACTAGGATATTCACCATAACTCTTTGTTCTCAAATAGCCCCTCAATGTAGCTTCTTGTCTCTTGAATGTTGCACCCGGCAATTAATTATACATAAACCGCTCGTAGACCCACGAGACACTTCACCTCGCATTTGCACAATGAGAGTGCCATAGAGATACTAGAATAAGGCGTCACCTCAAGAACTAACTAAGGCCCCTATTTTACAAATAGAATATAGTATGTACTGGACGCAAACGCAAACATGCAAAATGTGTCTTTCTCGCACCTGAGAAGAAAGATACCTTCGGAGTAAACTAAGCAGAGCCTTGGCCTTGAATGATAGTAAGGCGTTCAAATGATAGAAACGTCTTTCACATGATTTCTGTACACGGCCGAAAGCCTCACCGCAATCAAACCACCCAGTGCGATAACACTTGTTGCACTCTTCATCTCAAGAACATTGAGGACTACCCCAACTTTTTGTCGCAGCCAGTTCCGAAGCTCTACCGTGACCAAGGAGTCTGCTTGCAGCGGCCTTGTCAGGTCGACTTCCTCATCCTGTCGCATCATGAAGCCCCGCAACGCGGCGCCAATCTCCGCAGCCAGGACATTTTTCGCCTCGTCAGATTCTAGCTTCGCAGGATCCAACATACAGCTTTGAAGATAATCTTTCAGAGTACATTCTGACTTGAGCTGATCGATATGTCTGTCCACAGGCACATTCATTGCTAGAAATCCGGCGCGTGGATCTTGCTGCCAGCCGGTTCTGTTCACTGAAGACGAAGACCGCATTCCGATGGCAAGCTGACTCGGGTTTGAGTAGCTTGCCATCGAATGTAACCTAGGGTGCGTTACCCTTTTGTTGTTCGCGTGAGATCTCTTGATCATCAACTCTATTGCATCAAGGAGGTCCTGCTCATGAAGACAATGTTGAGAGGTTGAGCGAAGAGCTTCTAAGCGATTGGTTTCCCTCGCAAGAACACCAATGTCTTCCATGATGCCGATATCGAGTACAGAGCATGCTAGGCCCTGAGAGTGTCTGTACTGAACGAAGGCATCAAGAAATGCGTTTCCGGCAGCGTAGTTGGCCTGGCCAATTTGTCCTCCCAAGCCTGAAAGAGAACTAAAGAGGAAAAAGAAGTCCAGCTGGTCTCTTTGTGCCTGGAGTGCGTAGTGGAGGTTCCAAGTTCCTTGTACTTTTGGGGAGACGGTAGTCTGCCATTGCTCAAAAGTCATGTCGGCAAAGTGAACATCCTGGGATACGGTGAGTGATCATTCAGAAATGCGGAAAGGCCAGAATGAGAGCATACCTGGAGTACCATTGCAGCGTGTAAAACACCAGTGATTGGAGTAGTTGCTGAGTCGACCATCCTCACCACATCCGTCATCTCGTTGACGCTACCAGAGACGGCTTGAACTGTGCATCCTAGAAATTCAAGCTCCCTGAAATATGATGAGTTGGCGAACTCCTTGGCAGATCTGGAAAAGAATATCAAATGACGAGCCCCCTTTTCGACGAGAAATCTGCCCGTGGCTTGACCTAACCCTCCCAGACCGCCGATTATGACATAGGTTCTGTCCGAGCGGAGAGCCATGATTTGTCGTTTGGGCGAAGCTTGGAGCTCTTTGTTGCTGCCAGGCATCTTGATAATAACCTGACCGATCCGTCCCCCACCTCGCAAATACTTGAAAGCCGAAAGTGCATCGGAGGCAGGAAAGACTGTGATGGGCTGCGATGGCTGATTGAGTCCAAATTTGTGGAACAAGAATGCCTGCTCCAGAAGACTGCAAGGTCTCAAGTTAGTGAGTGAACTTGTGTCGGAAAATCCGTACATAGTCTACGGAAAAGGGCTCACCGAGTGCACTCCTCTGGTTGATGAACTCTCAGTTCTTCGAGGTCAATATTCACCAAAGTTCGGTTGCGACAGTTCTTCAGAGTCTCCGCTGTTCTACCACCACCATGTCGGACTTGTACCATCGTTCCAAACGGCCTGAGACACGCCCAAGTCTCTTGCATCGAATCAGGATGCGTGCTGAAGACGATGTCCACCCCCCGACCATTCGTCTGGTGCAAGATATCAGACACAAATGAGGTGGCGTCGGAGCTAAAGATACGGTTGTTCGGAATGCCGTATAACTTCTGCAGATATCGGGCTTGTGTTGGATTCCCCGTCGCGCAGAAGATCTAAGGTCGGATTCAGTCAGTTAGTCGTCCCGAGAAAATCTGTACAGCGATGGATGCACGAAGCTTACTTCCGCGCCAACCATTCTTGCGACTTGAATAGCAGCCAGGCCGAGAGCACCCGGCGTTGA